GGATGCATCGCAATCACATTGAAGACTACATTCAAGAAATGTACATACAGGCCCCTGAAGCATAAGTCACGGAATAAACCACTTGAGCAAGGGACACAATAAACAAAGAAAATTTTGACTTTTTATCTCATAATTATGACTTAAATTAATCAACAAAGCCAATTTTTTTTTTTTTTTTTTTAACTGGCAGAAATGGGCATCCATACAAAACAGCTCAGTGTGTGTGTTCTGAGTCTGTCTCATGTTTCTGCAACAGTGTCACAAAATGCAAAACCACACACATTATTTTGATGCTAATTTGGCGTACATGTCTGTGTGTGGGTGTCTGACCTTTCCTGGACGCTGCCTCCTTCCTCAGTTTGCGTAGCTTCTCCACAGATCTCAGCACGTCCTGCATCCTCTTCACATCCGCCTGCTTCCGCCTCACCTCACAGAGGACAGTGTCTGCAGCCAGCTTCACTTCCTGTTCCTGATGGTACACACATGACCTTCATCATCACCTTTTTACAATTTTCATTTACAGACTCGTACATCTGAGAGTGAGTGGAACATAATCAAGGATGTAAACAGAAGCAAATAATGTCAGTTACTGCCAACAAACAGCTTCAAGTCTGATTGGACCAATGTGCGAACATTAGTTTATTATGGGTTTTTTTTCATCATCATCAACAACAACGTTAAACATCAACAGCTGCCACTTGTTATCATCATCATAAAGAATATTATAGTCGATAGCCTCAATATGATCTTTATCACATATTCAGTAGCATCAATATCATATCATTGGGGTGGCAGTAGCTCAGTCTGTAGGGACTTGGGTTGGGAACAGAGGGGTCGCCGGTTCAAGTCCCGGTGTGGACCAAATATGGAAGTTGGTCTGGTAGCTGGAGAGGTGCCAGATCACCTCCTGAGCACTGCCGAGGTGCCCTTGAGCAAGGCACCAAACCACCAGCTCAGGAGCGCCCGCTGTGGGCAGCTCTGTCACTCTGACATCTCTCCATTAGTGCATGTCCATAGGATCCTGTTTCTTATGAAGGTAGATATGTTGCAAAATGTGAGAGCTTGTAGAATGAGATGTGAGAGCTTGTAGAATGTGATGTGTGAGCTTGAAAAAGTGAACTTGTATGTAAAAATCATAATTTACTCAGATTTTTTTAAATAACTTGTGCCTATTATCTTTTACAACCACAACTTCTCAAATCTGCACAAACTACTTTTCTCGCGTGAATCTGCGCTGCTTGAGTTTTGCAACACATTTTGCGAGACGTCTGTAGCAAAACAAATTTGTACTTGTAGAAATGGTTATAATCTCTAATCTTCTAATTTTTTATTTTATTGACATCAAATCACCTCTCATGTGTCCTGGACATCCTCTCAAAACTTTCACAGCTCTTAGTTAGTATAGGAGGCCTTTAATAAAAGCCTTAATACCATTATCAAGGGCCTGTCGCTTTAAATATGCAATTTTCAAGGTTCAGCCTACGTTTGTGTTCATGACTTACAGAGTGTAAAAACAGAAATTTCCCCTTGCTGGGATCAATAAAGTAAATCTTAATAAAGTGGGAGGACTACATCATCATTCTCATCTCTGTGAGGTCGTAGGAAGCTAAAGGTCAAGTGTATGATGTCACATGAGATGACTGGAATACTCACCTTCTTCCTTTCCTCCACCTGCTGTATCTGCTGCAGCCTCCACTTATCTATAGCAGCCTCCTTCTCGGCGATGCGCTCCTTCCTCTGGTTCTCCTCCAGCTGCAGCAGTCTACGTGCTCTCAGCCTCCTGGACCTCCTCGCAGTGACCCGGGACACTTTAACCTTCCAACCAGCTATGTTCTGACTGTCGCTGAGCACAGACAGCGAGCTCTGCAGCTCCTGCTTCAGCTTGAGAGCACCTGAATAAGAAGGGGTCCAGACCCCGTCCTCCTCCACACCTCTCCTCAGAGAATCACAGGTTTCAGCCAGCTGGGAGACCAGCTGAGCGGCCTGGTATAGAGTCCGCCTCAGCTCCGGGACACACCGGGGCTGCATGTCGCGGAGACTCTGGGGCTGGGTCTGAGAACCTCTGGAGGTCTTGTCTCTGCTTTGTAAGAAGCGTCTGACCCACTGCTGGTCCTGGCTCCTCTGAAAGCCGGCTTCATCCTCAACTCGTCTCTGTGAAACTGGAATCCGGTCCGGGCCGGTACCCCGCGGAGGAAGCAGCGGACTCTGAAATGCATCCGGGTCATACTGAGCACTCTGAGGACCGGGTCTAAACTGCTGACCAAATGTGTGAAACGGTGATGCTCCATGACCGCTGCTGTGTGCGTTTACCGGGCCAGGGGGCACCATGTTGGGGAACTGTCCCGGTGGTGGGTAGCCGAAAGGAGGCGGTGGGACTGTGGGGTCAAATCCAAACGGAGGAGGCAAGTGGGGTCCTCCGAAACCCCCTTCCCTGGGAGGCAGTGCAGGGAGGTCGTATCTAAATCCGTACGGGTGTCCGTCATATCCCTGTGAAGAAGCCCACTGCGGAGGAGCCGGGTCCAGCTGTGTCGGTACATGAGGTCTGTTGACAGAGTAAGGGGGCTCCATGTGGCCGCCATAGTAGTCAGGATGCTGTTGCGTGTTATCCATGTCGCGTGAAATATTATACAGAGTCTGTTGGATCCTAAACTAAACTTTTACATCCTTTGTTATGCTCAAGTCTTCACGGCAGCCGCCATGATGTTTCTTCTTCAGGTCCCCGTCTGTTGAGGTTGGTCGTTCTTAACAAGGGTAACAGCGCCAACATCATGCAGCGGCCGAGTTGGAACTGGAAAACAAGAGCTTGACAGACAGACAGACACACACACACACAAACACACAGACAGACAGACACACACACACACACACACACACACACACACACGCAGACACACAGACAGATAGATTCTACAATTCATTTAGCAGACGCTTTTATCCAAAGCAACGTACATCAGAGAGTAAGTACAACACAAGCAAGGATCTAGAAAAAAGGGAACAATGTCAGTAAGAGCAAACGATCAGCTTTGAGTCTGATTGGACACACAGGTGCTGACAGGAAGTGACCAGAGGCAAAGCACAACATTGAGGGCAGTTCTTGAGAGCTCTAATCAGTATAGAAACCATCTGATAAGTCATCGTTATCAAACAAAAACCATCGTCATTACCATCATCATCATCAATAATATGGAGACCATCATCATTAAGTTAGTATGTATTAATGAAAGAGCTGGGTCTTTAGCTTTTTCTTAAAGGTGCAGTAGGACTCTGCATATCAAATGGAGTTTGGAAGTTCATTCCACCAGCGGGGGGCGACAGAGGAGAAGAGTCTAGTCAGAGACTTAGGACCCTGTTGTGAAGGTTGGATCAGACACCTTTCATCGGCAGAGCGTAGAGGGGGGGAGGGAGTGTAGACCTAGATCAGAGAGTTAAAGTGAGGAGGAGACATTTTTGTGTCTGTTTTGTAAGTGAGCAGCAGAGTTTTAAATTTGATGTGAGGAGTAACTGGGAGCCAGTGTAAGGAGATGAACAGAGGAGTGACATGTGCTCTTTTAGGAAGGTTGAAGACCAGTCGTGCTGCTTTTGCCATTTTCTCTCTGCTGACCTCAGCCCTGCTCTTTGCTCTCTTATGACTTCCATGGGCTAGGGTGGGTTTTGCGAGCAGGTTTGGACACCAGTGGGCAGAGCTTGTTCAGATATGAGGCTAGTGTGGAGCAGAGTGTGTCTGTAGCCTCGTCTGTAGAGAGCGCGGTAAAGACCTTTTGGGCAGGCATGGCAGCCATTACCTCGTTAGACAGCTGAGCTGGCTTGAGTGATCGCAGGGAGTTCCGGCAAGGAGATTGTGAATTGAAAAAAGTGGTCTGATAGATGTAGAGGAGTGACAGTCAGGTTTGCTGTCGAGCAGTTCCGAGTCAGGATTAAATCAAGAGTGTTGCCAGTTTTGTGGGTAGGAGGAGTTGGGACCTGCGTGAGGTCAAATGAGGATAGGAGAGCAAGGAAGTCTGTAGCCTGGGCTTTATCAGTGTGTATATTCATGTCTCCCATTACAATCAGTGGTGTTCCATCATCAGGGATTTCTGAGAGTAGCATGTCCAGTTCCACAACAAAATCATTCAGATTACACCCTGGTGGGCGGTAAATGATAGCAATGTACATTTTAATAGGAGCAGTAACCAAGATTGTGTGATATTCAAATGAGGAGTTGGAGAAGAGGCTTTCTTAAGCCGAGCCAAGTTGTTAAGATTTCGTTGTCTATGACAGATGTGTCTTTTCCTGTTACCATGAATGACAGAGATTTCTTTGTAGCCCATGTTGCGTTTAGCAGATGACCAGAGAAATAGGCAAAGCAGTAGTCGTGTATGCCCGGGCTCTGTGGCCACGCTGAAGCGTCACACGCGTCAACTGCCTCTCCTGTTGATGCTCAGAGAATGAAACTTAAGTGCTCAGTCCAAACAAAGCCTGACAACGACCCACTATCAATAACTACTCAAAGCAATTCGATTTGCCCACCAGCTGACAAGACCTTCCTAGTTTTCAGATCAGAGATAGATAGATAGATAGATAATCTACCATCCAGGATTTCCATTTTAATTGCAACCACAAGACCAAATTAGCTCATGAAAAAATAGTAATATTTCTATAGAAATCTTTGATTACTGGTTTAAATTTTCTGATTTAAATTTTCGCTTCAGCACATTTCTAAATGAAAAAGTAGTTTGAATTGGCTTTTATTCTATTTTAAGCGTGTTTAATCAAGCATTTCTATTTGCATACGAGTTTAAAAATATAAATGATGACATCATAGTCCACATTCTGATGAGAACTATAGACACTTATTGTTATTTTTTTTCAAATGATAAGTTGGCCTAATTATAACTGTCTAATTGAGAGTGTCCCACAGTTAGTAAAAATGTGGCCCGCTGTGAAACCAAAATAGATAATATATAATATTTACAGTCTATGGTCTGTGAGGCGAACACACGCTGTGCATTATGGGTAGGCAGTGTCAGAAGCTTTGCGGAAGTGTGTGAAGCTGGAGTCATATGACCAGGCAGCCAGCTGCAGAAAATGCTCCCCAGTTATGGATAAACTTCCCCGGACACGGTGACTAACATCCTCGACGAACACGGTAACAGCGTTGTAAATAATATTTACACACCGTTAAGATATCTGCTGTTTGAGTTGTCACGGTAACGCCTGTAAGCGGCTACACGGTGGGTTTAGATAGTTAGCATTAAAGCTAAGAAAGCTAACATAAAAACAGTGAAGATGCTGAGGTTCATATATTAAACAGTGGACCAGGCGAAGTTAAATTTAATACTTTACCAGAAGCTGATATAAAAGACCTAAAAAATACCGTACTTGCTGAGGCTTTTTTAAAGCAGTTAAAGTTAATATTAAACTTTATGGCAGCCGAAGCTAATGATACAGACTGCAGCACCTGAAGCTAACAAATAATAATACACCTCTGTAATTTTGATGAAACTGTTTAAGGTAATATTAAAGATTATAGCAACGTATCTCATAGTAAAGAGTATGTTAGCTGAATAATTACCCATCTGCTGCTAACTGTTAAATATTACTTGTTTAATAACTTTGTAAATCACTGCTTTATAATAGTCTATTTATTTACTCAGTCACTGCACTTTAACTTTAACTGTCTATTTATTGATTTATTCATTGCACTAAAACTGTTTATTTACTCATCCAATCACTGCACAATAATAACTGTATGTACTCTGTCACTGTACCATAACTTCACTTATTTGCACTATATCTCTATATTTATATTTGTTAAATTAATCAGTCACTGCACAATAATAACTGTATATATTCTTTCAGTCACCACAACTGTCTATTTATTTATTATTATTATCATTCATTCACTGAGCAGCAATTGCTGTGGACACTTTTTACATACTTCTGTCATATCACCACAAATATATTTTTGTTGTTGTTTTTGTAAACGCTGCTGTTTAGGATTGCTGCTAACGAAGTTTTGTTGTGTCCTTGTATACAATGATAATAAAGATTCTATCTATCTATCATAATAAAGAGTATGTTAGCTGAATATCATAATAAAGAGTATGTTAGCTGAATGCCATATAAAAATGTTTAGTAGCTGAAGCTTATATTGAAAGAACACTTGGCGAAACACATTTTCTTGAGTTTTTTGTGTGTTTCCTCAGATGGACGAGATTAAAGTGTCTCCTGACTATAACTGGTTCAGAAGCACAGTGCCCCTGAAGAGAGTAAGTACCTCATGATTTATAATCTGTAATCTCTCATAATCCTGGTTTTGTACATGAACACAGCAGAGAACATGTTTGGAAGTAATATAAACCTGCAGTCTATACAATAAAACACTGTTTAGTCATGATGTTGTCCTGTATAGTGTCCTGATGTTCACTCTGTGTCAAAACCTGTCGATGAGTTTGTGTTGGATATGTGCTGTGGCATGATGACATCAGACTGAGTCTGCCAGTATTTAACTCAGGATGGACTAAACTGTTTTCACATCTGACACTGAACTATTTATCAATTAGTGATTTCACTCTTCTGTGCTCTACAATACTGTGATTATTACAATAATGTAAAGTCTGGAGTGGAGTATTTGGTCAAGGTTTTCTAACATGAACACACACACATAGAGGTTGCTATCGTTATAAATGCAGTGTTTCATCTTTTGGGGGTGAATTAGTGTTTCCTCAGTGTCCACTATCCATTATGGTGATTGTTATGAGCTTGAGGTGTCTGTAGATATGTGTTTCTGTCATGTACAGAGTCAAGACTGAACAAACAGCATACTCAGAACACACAGCTGATAAACAGCTATTGTCATATTATTATGGTTATTTATCAGGAACAGTACCAATTTTTATTTTCCCTTGGGGCCTTTTGTGTGTGCTGTGCGTGTTTGAACAGTCCCTCTGTGCACTACAGCAGGTCACGTGTGATGAACAACAGACCTGCTGCTGGTTTCTGTTCAAACGTTCATCTGTTGGAACTGATGCACATAATAAGTAGATACTGTTAGATCACTAAGTGTCAAATACATGTTTAAGAATTAACTTAGTGTCAAATATCTGATAAGGTTTCAGGTAGGGATTTCCCTAATGCTGTTAAACCTACATTTTAATTCAGACTAATAATTTCGACTAGTCTAAATTTAAGAAAACAGAATACAGTCAAAGATGAGAATAATTTATTCAAAATTGTCTGCAGTCTTTAGTTTGCAGAGTGTGGCTATCATTAGCAGTGTTAGCACCGCCAGCCTTCGGTCCTCCCTGCAGGTAAACATCCACATGCCTGCAGTCTCTATGGCAGTTGAACTTGACACAGTCTACATACAAATCCTGCCAAACCGTGCCTCTTAACTGTGCTGGTTTACATCTGGGTAGTAGAGCATGGAGAGCAGGCCTTTTAACAAGAGCTACAGCCTTATAAAACACCATGGTCCTACAGTCGACTCTTGTAAAAGCTCACATCGTAATCAGTTGTGTTTCTGTTTTAACTCAAACACAAAGCTCTCTCAGAAATATTTTTACACTTAGCTTCTGACATTCTCATGAACCCCACTGATCCCCAAACAGATGATCTGATCACAGTTGCTTCCTGTCTTTTCTACACAGAGCTGTCAGTAGACTCCAATAGTCTCGCTGTGTTTGTTAGTTAATGAGTAACTGAATGTCCACAGTGTGAAACAATGTTTGTCTTCCACAGTCCAACAGCAGATTTACATTTTGTAATAGTATTTCTTAGGTTAGAAGAAATGCAGCTCAGTGTTTTTTTGTTGATGTTGAGGAAACAAGATAAAAAAACATTTAAAATGCAGAATGCTTAAATATATTAAAATAATAAAAATGAAGACTGGCTCCTCGGCTCCACCCTGAGGAAAATAATTCTTCATATTTATGTATTGCTACTCAATCTTATTTTAGAAGAACAGAACTGAAAAGATGTTACTGTTACACTAGCCATGAACACGTTGAAGAAAGTTCCAACACAAGTCAGCTGCCTACATTTTAATCAATAAATGAATACCCTCAATACACAAGGACTGTGTGTTCGAACTCTGTTTCAACAATTGTGTTGTGACGCTCTTTAACTTCACAGTGACTCAAGCCTGTGTGTGTGTCTGATGGTGGCAAACAGTGTGAAATATGTTCCCCTTTCTTCTCTCTGACACAATTAATGCGTGTTAACTGATGCTGTGTGCGTGATTCAGTGGCATTGTGAGTCAGTCAGGAATTACAGTTGACAGATCACAGTGTGGACTAGTGGTGCAATGGACCACATCTGTCATGGTTCTTTTGAGCAACAGCCGTATTTAGTAAATCCTAACCACCTCCATGTTAGTGAGGGTAAACCACATCTAGCACTTAAATGTAGCTATTGCTCTGGGTACACACATGTTCTTCATCAACACTGACTGAGGAGTCATTCCCTCTCTCACGTGTGTGTGTGTGTGTGTGTGTGTGTGTGTGTGTGTGTGTGTGTGTGTGTGTGTGTGTGTGTGTGTGTGTGTGTGTGTGTGTGTGTGTGTGTGTGTGTGTGTGTGTGTGTGTGTGTGTGTGTGTGTGTGTGTGTGTGTGTGTGTGTGTGTGTGTGTGTGTGTGTGTGTGTGTGTGTGTGTGTGTGTGTGTGTGTGTGTGTGTGTGTGTGTGTGTGTGTGTGTGTGTGTGTGTGTGTGTGTGTGTGTGTGTGTGTGTGTGTGTGTTAGATCATCGTGGATGATGATGACAGTAAGGTGTGGTCTCTGTATGACGCCGGTCCAAAGAGCATCAGGTGTCCCATCATCCTCCTCCCCCCGGTCAGTGGGACGGCAGAGGTGTTCTTCCAGCAGGTGTTAGCTCTGACAGGATGGGGCTACAGGGTCATCTCGGTGAGACACGCACAAACGCACTGCATGAACACACATGCACGCCCTGAAGGAGCACACGCTACGTAAGGGATAATGTATAATGAACAGGTTGTTATAGTGGATTGAAACCCAGACAGGGTGATCAGGGGGCTTTACCTCACCTTGAAGGGGTTGTGCCATCCTACGTTTTATAGATTTCTCTGTCATAGCCTATACGTTTTTTTCTCTTTTTCACACAGTAAACAGACAAATGTCAAATTAACCAGACTTCTTTCTGCAGATGGATATGATGACAGTTTGTCAGCCGTATTCTGCGGTTAGAGCCGCATCACTAGCAACCCTTTCCTTTTCATAGTAACTGTTTGTTCTGCTTAACAACAGCAAGCTATGGTGGAATAAGCAGTCGTTTGCTATGTGTCATTTGGGAATCTCAATCAAGTATTTTACACAGTCGTGTAATAAGCAGGGATAGAATACACTCTGCATGAACACACACACACACTGCAGGAGCGCACACACTTTATGCAGGAACATAAAAGTAAAGTAGTTTGTTCATGTTTATATTGTTCTGTATTCAGGCATGTATCATCTTTGACGTTGCTTCGGTCCTGTGTGTCAATCAGTGATAATTAGTCAGAGATAAATGTTCAGTATAATAAATCAGGTCATAAATGAGGTTACCTGTGGTTATATATTATCAGTAATAAATCATTGATAATGAAGCAGTGATAATATTTTAGAGATAGTAATTCAGAGATAACTCAAAGTTAATAAATCAGTAATTATGAATGTAAAGCAATAAAGGAGTGATAATCAATCAGTTATAATTTTGGTATAATTTAAATCAGAGCTGATATCAATTATAGAATTATTCTGTGTTAATAATTAGTGCAAAGTGATTGTAAGTCAGACTCAGGCATAGTACGTCAATAATCATAGTTCAGTAATAATGATTCTGTGATTATTTATGAATAATAGGTCCGAGATAAACAATCAGGCAAAGTAATTCATGGATAATAATAACCCTACATAATGAAAAAGTAATAATAAATCAGGTGTGATATTTCATTGATGATAAATCAGCAATGATTAATCGTAAAGAGAAAAGTCAGCGAGAATAAAGTGAGGCTGTAACGGTGTGTCTGCTCTCTCCAGCTGCAGTATCCAGTCTACTGGGACTTGATGGAGTTTTGTGACGGCTTCAGGAAGCTTCTGGATCACCTTCAGCTAGACAAGGTTAGTCTCTTTTTAGGAGTGAGTGATGTTGTCTTCAGTGTCTGTGTGTCTGTCTGTCTGTCTGTCTGTCTGTCTGTCTTAAAAGTGAAATGAGCTATAGAGACCAAAATGTTTTTTTCTCTTTTTTAAACAGACTGTAAACATGTTTATTTCTGATGTTAAAATTCACTTTTTAACACGGAGCTCCATGGGGGATTGACCCACTTTCGGAAAGTGCCTCTAGTGGGCACAAGAGTTGGTTTCTTTTATCAGCTCTGGAGAATCTCACAGGCGGTTAATTAGCTCTCTAGTGTCTAGAGATGTCCCGATCCTGATCTCAAGTACAGGATCTGCGCCGATTTTGGCATTTTTTTTAACTGATCGGGGATGTGAAGCAAATTTGAAGCCGATCAGCTCATCCCGACCGACCGTCTACTGATTAGGGGAAAATCTATAGTATGCACCAGACCAGTGTTTCCCACAATGCAAAGCGCCACAGTTGGAGATCAAACTGACAGATTCCAAAAAAACATGAAAATCCAAATGAATCGTTTGTCAGCTTTTTTCAGACTGTAAGTGGATGCTACACTGTAGCAACATTTGATGCCAGCTGGGCTGAAACCAGTTTCGCTTGGGCTGCATACGTCAATATAACCACTGACCTGCAGTCAAATACTACTGTTCAGTATGCAGTACATTCAGTAGTTTGTAGTAGGCGGTTTTGAAAAGAGCCTGTGTGTCTGACCCTCAGGTGCATCTGTTCGGGGCATCTCTGGGAGGATTCTTGGCTCAGAAGTTTGCAGAGTGCACGCACAAATCTCCCAGAGTTCATTCTCTGATCCTGTGTAACTCGTTCAGCGACACCTCCATCTTTAACCAGACTTGGACGGCTAACAGGTGAGTTTGAGTATTATAACACAGATAAATAAATAAACCTCAGTGTTGGTGTGTTTAATCATTAGTGTTTGTCTCTGTTTTCAGTTTCTGGTTGATGCCTGCCTTCATGTTGAAGAAGATAGTTCTGGGGAACTTTGCTAAAGGACCTGTGGACTCCAAGATGGCCGATGCGATCGACTTCATGGTGGACAGGGTGAGTGGGCGTGTGTGTTTAAAAACTAGTGTGTTTTTAAATGTCACGGTCTGGATCAGAACCCAGATTTTGGTCACAGATACTAATAATAGAAGCAGTTAGATTAACCTGATCTCTGCTGCTTAACTGTTTTACAATATCCTACAACAGTCTGTAGCAAATATATCCTCATCAGGGACATCAACTTTACAAACACAACATCAATTATTTTGTGAATTAAAAGTTTGTTGTCATCTCTAAAAGCATTTCTTTTTTCTTGTATGGGCTTTTACAAGCTTGAATAAGTAATGAATACACATTGTTCATTTCCCAGATGTGTTTGTGTCTGTGCAGGCTGCTCCTGCAGTGTGTGTTACACACACATACAGACAGCAGGCATTTAGGGACACAATGCTCTGTAATAGAGTTTGTGTCTAATTGTACAGCTACAGGCTTCAGTGGGCTACAGGATAACATTAAGTTTTTGACTGTTGTTACATAGGACCACCAGTTGAAATATGCTGAAAAATTCTGACACGGCAAGAGTGAGAAAAGTGGAAGCATCATGTGAAAGTATCCAAACAGAATGAAAAAGTGTTTTATGAACTGTTTCTGTGTGTCTGTGAAAAACGTGTGTAAACATATTTTAGAAGACTTTAATGTCTTCCTATGTGTACAGTGTATCTCCATGGTGCCTTCACACTCTACTTACCTGTAAATGCTGCCTTCTTTTCACTTGGACTGCAAAGGGATTTAGCAGCAGAACATTTATTCTACACCACGATAATCATTTTCCACAGAACTGCGGATCACATACGGCCTGAATCGTGGGGGGATGGTCCGAACAGATGATGGATCGATTGTGATCTGTATGTTTTTGTTGTGAGACGTTCAAGGGTCCTCTTGCTGGAAAACATCTGTTCCTCTGAATATAAGATGATTCTTGAAATGATTGTCTGTATAGGAGTGTCTATTCAGCCTCCTCTGTAAACCAGCTACACTCTGTTGACCTGCCATCGTCCGGCTGTGGTCAAACCCTCTTCATGTCTTCCTATGTTTAAATATTAACCCTTCCTCATTGTGTCTTGTCTTCTGCAGTTGGAGAGTCTGAACCAAAGTGAGTTAGCATCGCGGCTAACGCTAAACTGCCAGAACTCTTACGTGGAGCCGCACAAAATCAAAGATGTTGCTGTGACCATTATAGATGTAAGTGTGTTAAGGAGACCTTTATTGTTGAATAAGCACATGTATATTTGTACAACAGTCACCTAACAGACAGCCATGTGCAGGTGTTTGATCAGAGTGCGCTGTCACTGGAGGCTAAAGAAGAGATGTACAAACTGTATCCGAACGCCAGACGAGCCCACCTGAAGACAGGAGGAAACTTCCCCTACCTGTGCAGGAGTGCTGAGGTCAACCTCTACATACAGGTACTACAATCTGTTTAAAGGTACTACAGTCTACATACAGGTACTACAATCTGTTTAAAGGTACTACAGTCTACATACAGGTACTACAGTCTACATACAGGTCTACATACAGGTACTACAATCTGTTTAAAGGTACTACAGTCTACATACAGGTACTACAGTCTACATACAGGTCTACATACAGGTACTACAATCTGTTTAAAGGTACTACAGTCTACATACAGGTACTACAATCTGTTTAAAGGTACTACAGTCTACATACAGGTACTACAATCTGTTTAAAGGTACTACAGTCTACATACAGGTACTACAGTCTACATACAGGTCTACATACAGGTACTACAATCTGTTTAAAGGTACTACAGTCTACATACAGGTACTACAATCTGTTTAAAGGTACTACAGTCTACATACAGGTACTACAATCTGTTTAAAGGTACTACAGTCTACATACAGGTACTACAATCTGTTTAAAGGTACTACAGTCTACATACAGGTACTACAGTCTACATACAGGTCTACATACAGGTACTACAATCTGTTTAAAGGTACTACAGTCTACATACAGGTACTACAGTCTACATACAGGTCTACATACAGGTACTACAATCTGTTTAAAGGTACTACAGTCTACATACAGGTACTACAATCTGTTTAAAGGTACTACAGTCTACATACAGGTACTACAATCTGTTTAAAGGTACTACAGTCTACATACAGGTACTACAGTCTACATACAGGTCTACATACAGGTACTACAATCTGTTTAAAGGTACTACAGTCTACATACAGGTACTACAATCTGTTTAAAGGTACTACAGTCTACATACAGGTACTACAATCTGTTTAAAGGTACTACAGTCTACATACAGGTACTACAATCTGTTTAAAGGTACTACAGTCTACATACAGGTACTACAGTCTACATACAGGTCTACATACAGGTACTACAATCTGTTTAAAGGTACTACAGTCTACATACAGGTACTACAGTCTACATACAGGTACTACAATCTGTTTAAAGGTACTACAGTCTACATACAGGTACTACAGTCTACATACAGGTACTACAATCTGTTTAAAGGTACTACAGTCTACATACAGGTAGTACAATCTGTTTAAAGGTACTATAGTCTACATACAGGTACTACAGTCTACATACAGGTACTACAATCTACATACAGGTACTACAGTCTACATACAGGTACTACAGTCTACATACAGGTACTACAGTCTACATACAGGTACTACAGTCTACATACAGGTACTACAATCTACATACAGGTACTACGGTCTACATACAGGTACTACAGTCTACATACAGGTACTACAGTCTACATACAGGTACTACAGTCTACATACAGGTCTACATACAGGTACTACAGTCTACATACAGGTACTATAGTCTACATACAGGTCTACATACAGGTACTACAGTCTACATACAGGTCTACATACAGGTACTACAGTCTACATACAGGTACTACAGTCTACATACAGGTCTACATACAGGTACTACAGTCTACATACAGGTCTACATACAGGTACTACAGTCTACATACAGGTCTACATACAGGTACTACAGTCTACATACAGGTCTACATACAGGTACTACAGTCTACATACAGGTACTACAGTCTACATACTGGCTGTGTCTGATGTAATTTAAATAGATTTTTTTTATTGATTTGATGATTTAAGGAGGCTTTTTGTTGTTATGCTACAGATCCACCTGCGTCAATTCCACGGGACCAGATACGCCGCCATCAGTCCGGACATGGTGACTGCTGAGGAGCTGGAGGTTCAGGCCACTCACCTGAGTGATGAACAATGAGCAGCGTTTACCTACTGAGTCTCCTGTGAACATTTCTCCAGTCTGTATTCTCCTGAAAGCATCATTTCAAACAGGAAGTCCTCCTGTGGAACCAATCAGCAGAGTATTTTTATTTGACAGATGAAGCAATATTTTCTAAGGATCTGCTCTGCTTTACCAACCTGTGACACTTTGCCTTATGTGAATGAATCTGATCACTGTTGCACTCATTTCCTGCCTGAACTGTTTATGTTAGTGTTGTATGAAGAGGTGAATCTGCAGAGAGCTGCTTCCCTTTCACACACACATCTCTTGAGTTTCTGACCTTCTGATTAAATTAAGTGTATATGTTTTTCACCTTGTTTTTTTTTTTAAATCACATGATGTTGTTTCCGTGTCCGATTGCAGGAAGACCCTATGTTGTTGTGTGTTTTAACAAACTGGAATTCAAACACAGGTTAAAACTTCTCTGGATGTTTAGTCTTTAGTCTATTTTTAGAAACTCTCTGTTCGTACAGAGCAGCTGAGGTTTCACCCATCATCCCACCTGCAGCTGTAACTCTTCTCTACTTCCTGTTTCTGAATAAATGAAAATATGTGATGTGCCTTCTGTAACAGATCGTTCCTCTTCATTGACTTGTGACACACGGACAGAAAAAAGTGGCTGTGATTATGTGCATGTTCTCACTGATATCTTAATTTCAGGAATAGAAGCTAAAGGTTTCTTCTATCACTGTAAACGTCCTTCTGTCTTAGCACTCAATTCCACTTTAATATGCATCGAATGTTTAGGAAAGCTGCTCAGTCTCTCTCTCTCTCATTATATACGGTAAATATCTATCTGTAAATATATTTATAAGTCATGAACTTAAAGTTGTCAGGATAAAATGGCTTCAATTTGGCTTCTGAAGTTCTCAGGTGATAAAAGCTGCTCTTAAAATTAACCTGCTTATTAAACTTGAATGGAGCATCTAAAGCCAAACTAAGACTTTGGACCTCATATTGCTAATTTGCAGGCTAAAAAATACTTGAGTTCTGATGTTTTTAAGCTAAAGGGAAAACTTTAGCCATTTAAAAAATCATCAGACTACAGACAGATAATATATATCGAATGATTATTATTAATGTAGAATGTAACTACCCAGTGTCTAGAATCCTTCATCAAACTGAACATTTTGAAAAACCTCAACAGTTTGTCATGTATCTATGTTCAAAACCTGCAGTTGTTCAGTAAAGTGTCTGTTAATTTGATGCAGGTGATAGTTTTATAATGCACAAGAGCTTTTTAATCAAGCATTACATTGGTATACCTTTTAATATACTTGTATTGTGTTGCAAGAGGACTCTGTAACAAACCATAATAAATATTAAATGACTGGTCAGGATACACTTTGGAATAATAATAATAATAATCCTGTCACACCACAGACTGTTTTACAAAGACACTTTTTAATCTGCAAGAAATCCATTCAGCTCACATTCAGTACAAGCAACAAACATTCATATATATCGTCACACTGAAAAATAAAAACTAAGACTGTCAGCATTAACTAGTTCATTACAATTAATGTCTTTGATTCCAATTAATTGCATGCTATTTTGTTCCTTTAGGTGCACCGTGGATAAGTCTCCGCAGTGTCTTCCTGCCATCACAGTCATGGAGAAAGAACGATACTGCCGTGTCTTTAAATGTCTCATTTCACTTTAAAAAAAAAACCTGACAGCTCAACTGAGAAGTCAAAAGAAATATCCACCTAATGACATCAGACATTTCATTTGTTCACCGTTCCTTTGAGCTGTTTCTTTTTATGTGGTTAAGTTAACGTAACCTTTAATCCACCAGAATGTCCTGACTTTATTTCAAAACAAAAGCATGGTCTAAATCAAACAGCGAGTAAAGACAATTCAGAATTAAAGCCTAACAATTTTAATTTTTGAATGCAAAATAAAGTCAATTCCAACATGTGATTAAATATGCTAATAATCATGATTAACTATTGAAGTTTTGTGATTGATCACAATTAACCTCTAATCGTTTGACAGCCCTAATAAAAACCTGAACATTTATTACACTTTTACACCTGAAAACTTCCCCCAAACCAGAAAACTCATCAACAAACCTTATACAACTGAATGTCTCAACTCAAGAATACAAAACAAAACTCCTGTGAGTCATCATCAATGCAGCCAACACTAACAGGTAACATTTACAAAACAAAAGAACCCCAGAGAATATCTGTGAATTATAAACAGTGCAGCCCACACCTGAAAGGTAACAAACCATCACATCTGCTCTCAAAGTGCCCAGTGAATCTTTAGATTATGATAAAACAAAGTAAAACGTTAAGTGTCTGCAGCAAAAAAAGAATAAATAAGATAAAAACATTGTTTAGAGTTCTGTTAAGAGAAATATTTACTTCAGCACAAACTAAAGTTAGAAACAAAATAGAGGCTGAAGGATCTGTGGAGACTTGTTTGTGACAGACAGTCTCAGTGTATGAGGGTGCATGTTGGTGTGTATCAGTAGTAGAAGGTCCCGTAGTCTCCCAGTCCGTTCCGTCTGAACTGGTTCCCCTGGACGGACACAAAGACTTGGTGGTCCTTCAGGTCCTGGTCCGCTCGGCTGACACAGGAAGTCTCCTTGGTTCGGCTCAGCTGACGGCTGAACTGCCACTTCCTGCCTGATGAGGAGGCACCGCCTTCTGTGCTGTTGTTGTTTTCTGCAGACTCCTGCTGGGCGGGGCCACTGGCTGTAAGGGTGGGGGTTGTAGTGAAGGAGGAGGGTGGGTCGGCTGAGGGTCCTGCAGAGTCCCCTGAGAACAGATGGAGGTCAGACTCAGTGCTTTTACAGTCACTAGTATGTATGTCTGACTCTGCAGAAGTAGGTGGTGATATGCCCGATTTCAGTTAGTTACAATTGTCACCTTCTTCAGGTTGACCTATAACATCACATACCAAACAATAAACAAACCTATTGGCAAGCGGCAATCTGGTTGTATGTTGAACGGTCAACACAAATTCACAGCTCTAGGTTTGGTATGACACAACATGAACTGTGTTCCCTCCTTTCCCTTTTTGCTCACCACGTTTACTCTTTCGTCTTGTTTTCTTCCACACATTTAAAAACTTCAGGGACAAACTGGGAAAACTTTGTGGGAACTGTGGAGCATGCTCAGAAAGCCTCGGCCAGTTGAGGTCTGATTTAGGCGTATACATGCAAGAGTAAAGTCCAGTTTTACACAGAACAACTCAGTAAATCCACTTTTCTACCTAAATGCAAAACATACTGACGGTGACTTTTAAGTGCCCCACCTACCTGCATCTCCCTGTTGTTCTCCATTGTTTGGTTTCACTAAAATCACACCATATCCCTCGTTGTTGTGGATCACGTTGTTCTCCATGGTGATGGACGGCATCACATCCAGCTCATGAGCAAAGTCCTACACATAATTACAATCAATCAGTTTAACAAACCTTCATTAAAGCGCTGCACTGGGTTGGACAAAGTTCTGAGTGAGTTCAAACATAGTGTAGTTGGAGTGTATATTCTAATTTAGGATGAAGTATATGCACTTCTGATGTTAAAAATACACTAAGATAATTTCAATGTAGGTTGAATTTACACCTTAAAAGGGATTAATGCATTAATCTTTGTATCATTAGAAACCTGGTAGTATTTTTGAATGGTCCTGCATCCCACCCTCATTTTCCCCTGAGACAGGAAAGATCTGTATTTCTTTTCTGAAAAGCAGCCTCCGACGACGCAAAAATCGTCATTTTGCGTTATCGGAGGCTGCTGTAGTTAGAGGCGGTGAAAATACAACGCTAGTTCCTCATATTTTCAACCCACCCATGAGGGGGGACACACACTGAAGCTACAGACCAATCACAGATTAGTGGGTGGGACCTCACTCCAAGAATCTAAACTCAACATCTGCCATATTGCTTGGTAGCTATGCTAACAGGCTCTGTAGAAAGTTGAGAAGAGCGAAAGTATGAATAAATTATGTTTAAATTTCAAACTGAAATGGATGAAGGGGATTTTGAAGGTTTTGTGCTCGAATCGGATGTTCGTGGCTATCTCTACGAGTCGCAATAAAGCAGCTAGAGCTGTCTGTCTGTGGCGGTGAGGACGAGGAGCCGGGGCCGACTCGAGCTGGGGCAGACTGGTAGTGTCGGTGCTCTCACTGTTTGCCTATGGACACAGACATAGAGTCTGTTTTCTGAAAGGAATTTACAAGATCAATTCTGGAAGACATCCCTGAATCAGTTGAGGAAACGGTCTGATGTGTTGAAGTAAATATGTCTGTAGAGGACCTTAGTGGGAGTGGCCGGCGGTGCTGTGCATTCTGGGATTTGGTGTCTTTCATCCACATGAGCCAAAAAGACACT